GTGTGAGAGGCTTGGAGGGGGAAGCACAGGGGAAGGCATACCTAGCAGTAGCTGGCAAGCCCATGAGAGAAAAGACACAGTGGCAGCCATCTGCCAGGGCACAAAGACCAGTGGATGGCCACAGGATTCTCCAGAGGCCAGCAAGAGTCACGCAAACTGGAACAGGGCCTGGGAAAGGCCCTTCTGTGTGCTCCAGCCTGCTCCCCCAACATCGTGAGCCGAGAAACAAAGGGGCCATTCTCTCTAGGATTTGATGGCGCCATCTCCGGCTGGCAGTGCCAGGTGGTGGGGGCACCAGGGGGTGTCAATCTATTATCCCCCCCCCCAACTCCTAGGTCCTCTGGGGCTGGATGTTGGGGAGGTGGGTGTTTCATGCTATGTTGCTATGGCAACCTCTCCAACCCTCACCTTCTACAGCACAAAGAGAGACAGCTTTTACCCCCCACTCCCAGGAAGAACCTGGGTCTGGTTGGGAATCTTCCCTTGGGAATCCTCTTTCTGATGCACAGCCATGATGTGCATAAGCATCACCTTTTTTCAGCACCTGGAGCTGAAGGGTGGGAAGCTGGCATGTCAGAGTCTGGGCAAAGCTGTGCAAGTGAGCAGGAATCCTTTGTACTGAACCCTCTCTCCCCGCCCAAGCTCTCCGGTCCCTTACCTACAGCCAAGGCCATCCCAGGCCTTCTCAGCTGAAGCAATGGGGCCTTGGTCTATTCTCAGCCAGAAGGGAGGGCGGAATACCCCACTACCCCAGCAAGCCTCCAGGCTGTGGGAACAAAGAGGAGGGGGTCATTTCTGCCATCTTCCATCTGCACCTTTCCGCCATTACTCATTAGGCATTCTGCCCCCTCCTTCCGCTCGTTAAGCCTTATTTGCATAGATTTGCATAATACAACTCATTTGCATTCCAGGAGGCTTGTGGTAGGAGCCAGGAAAAAGGGGGAGGAGGGTGAAGGAGAGAAAAGGGGAGAGATTTTGTTTTCATCAAAGTGTGTGTGGAGTGGGGGGAAGTGGCAGGAAGAAGACAGAAATAAAAACTCACACTACTTTCTTTCTTCCCTTCTGCCCTCCCTCCCAAGCTGGACTCAAATGTCCGAGAGATGCCAAGGGGCCGGCTTTTCTGTCTTTTTTTGTCTCGCTTCCTCCGGTCTTGGCTCCCCAGCCTGGCCCCCCACCTTGTTGGGCTCAGGCTTCAGAAAGAAAGAGGCAGGGGTAGGAGGCGAGGCTGTGGGAACGGAAGCAGAGGGAGGCCGCCATCTTAGGTGCCTGGCGCCTGGGAACCGGCCTCCCTGACAGGTGCAGGCCGAGAGCCAGCCCTGGACGGTGGACACGAGGGAGGTGAGATTATACGAAGGACTTCCTGCTTTGTCAGGAGCATTGAGTCTTCCTGTGAGTGGAATTGGGAAGAGAGGCTGGGAGAGAAGGAAGGAGGGAGAGATGAGGCAGGGCAGCCCCAGAAGAGATGGGAGCCTCACACAGGAAGGAACAGGGTGGGAGAGAGGTCTCTCCGCTGGGTCTGGTTCCAGACACCCCTCGGATGACCCCTTGGGAGGACCGTGGGTCGTGTAAAAAGTACTGGAGGAATCAGAATGAGGCATCAGCAGCAGGAGGAGAATTATCCTCTTGTGGGACAGGCAGGATCACTTGCCAGTTTGAGGGTCTCTCTGGGGCCTGTGAAGGCCACTGTGTCCTTGACGTGAAGCTCCACGTCTCCCCTCGGCCCAGCAGCCTGGCTTCCACCTTCATGACTCTGGTGAAACTGCGCCTCTGGGGCACTCAGCCTCCTCAGCTGGGCCAACAGCCCGTGCTCAGGCCTGGTGGACTGTAGCCGGTCTTCTCCTTTGGCCTTTGGTTCTTCTCTTATGTCCCTGGTTATTCTTTCTGGGTTCTGTTCCTCCAGTCCTCCCGGTCAACCAATTCTCCAGCCAAAAGGGCTCCCCAAGGTTCAGCTGTGAGGGTTTTCTCCTCCTCTCTTCTCACTGTCAATTCACTTTGATCACTTCAGCCATCATTCCTGGAGGGGGCGAAAGATGAGTGATGGAAGATAAAGGAGATAGAGGGTACGGGAGGTGTCAGTCTAAGGAGTTTGAGGAAGTGGGTGGTGGAGAATAGAGAGTACACTTGAAAGCAAGGAGGTAGGGGAGAGCCTGGGACGTTAGGGAGCCTGGGCTAGGAGGAGGTAGGAGACGGAGGTACAAGTGTGGTTATTAAGAGCCTACATGCTCCACCAAGAAGGCTGGACTGGATGGGGGTGCTGGGAAATTAGCTGACATACTCAGAGATGCTGGGTGCAGGGTGTGGCTGGGAAGCAGCCTATAACCACTCCCAGGAGGGGCGAGGACACCCCATCTAGCTGCCCACGGAGCCCAGCACCCGACCAGACACTTAACTGGCTCTCAGCTAGTTCAGGCCAAATGAAGGAACATATGAGAAGCCTGGAAGCTGCTTCCGGAAAGGTCTCTGCTTCTTCCGCACTAGAATGTCCATCATCATCCCCCCTACACCCCCCACCACACACGCACACATACATGCACACGGGCTTGGGGGAGCTCTCTGGAGAGAGGTGGGGAAGCCAAGATCGGTCCCCAGGACAGTGAGTGCCCTGAGGTCAGGACAGGGGATGGGCTGCTGGGGACTGGAGTGAAGAACAGAGAAGTAGGTTTCAGTCCTGGAAACTTCTGGAAGAGGGAGTACAGAAAGGGGAAGGGGTATCCAGGGCTGGCCCAAGGCTCTGAGGGGATTCTTCCCGGAGAAAGGGGGTGAGAGGCCTGGGACAGCTGAGGAGCTGATGATCAGCCTGTTGCTGGGCACTGAGGTGGAATGTAAGCGGGGAATGCTGGCTCCTGCCCCTCCCCCAGGCCCAGCCTCTGCACAAAGCCCTCTCTGTGAGTGGCCCTGTCAGGTGAGGGGGCTTAGCTCCCAGGGGGCCCTTTGGAGGTGCAGTGGAATGGGCTGGAGAAGGGAAGGCCTGAGGGGTGGCCTCAAGCTTTAATGAGGTCCAGGAAGGAAAAAGAACCTAAGACCTGGCCATGGTCTCACAGGCGCAGTGGAGTCATTCCCAGACAGGCTCCTGTTCATGCTCCAGTCAGAGCCCACAAGTCCCGCCCCCCCTTCCCCGCTCTTGCCAGTTGAAACTCCCAGTCCTGCCTGTCTCTTCCCCAGCCCACACATGCTTCTGAGGCTGACTCCACTCTGAGTCTCTCATCTTCCCAACATAGGGACTGTTTCAGTCCCCTCCTTCTCCTGTGCAGGGCTCCCCCTCCAGGGAGGGCGTATGGGAGGCTGGAAAAGCAAGATTGACCAGAGCTAAAAAGGAGTCCCCAGCCCTGGCCGGGTGGCTCGGTTGGTGGGAGCATCATCCTGTATACCGAAAGGTTTCAGGTTTGATCCCTGGTCGGGTTGCTTACAAGAAGCAACCAATCTCTCTCTCTCTCTCTCTCTCTCTCTCTCTCTCTCTCTCTCTCTCTCTCTCAACATATCCTCAGGTGCGGATTAAAAAAACACACAAAAGGACTTCCCAGGCCACCTCAGTTTCCACACCCAATCTTGTCCTCCCCAAAGAGGCCTTCCCCTTGCAGCCTGTGTCACTGATTGCTAATCTGAACTGTCCTTACAGGTGCCCCAACCAGGGATCAAACCTGAAACTTGGGCATGTGCCTTGACCGGGAATCGAACCTGCAACCCTTTGATGCACGGGACATTGCTCCAATCAACTGAGCCACACCAGCCAGGGCAAGGAGGTTTTGCTTTTTGACTCAAATCAGACAGGAGAGCCACATTCTGGCTCTCCATTACTAGCGGGTACCTTAGACAAGTCACCTGATGTCCCTAACTTAGTTCCACAGTTCTGAGGGCCAGATGGGGAGGAGTGGATGAGAGTTTTGTAAGGCTGTGTGCAGATGTCTAGTGTTGATTTTAAATGCTGAGGGGCCACGGCAGGGAGGTGAGGACCATCAGGGAAGGCTTCCAGGGTTTGGAAACGAGGGCATGGATCGCTGGGTGCAGCTCGTGGCGAAGGGCACTGGACTGGCTGGATGCTCAAGTGGGCGAGCATCTTGCTAGCCTGGTTTGGGAGGCACATTTGTAACAACGGGTGGTAGACTCCTTGACCTCAGCTTCTTTCATCCGCAGGAAGGACTCCCCCTGGCCCCGTGTAAAGACTGTCCTGGGAGGGGGCGGGGCAGTGAAGCTCAGTTCCCCTGACCTGCTCCGCTCCCTCCCTGCAGCCCATGTCTCAGCTCACCAGAGGGAGCAGGCCAGACTCTGTGGCCTCCACTGAATGTGTGCAACAGGGTGTCTCCAAGCCTTGCCACTTAGGACCCTCACAAGTCCCTGATCTTGTGGTTCCTCAGCATTTCCAGGAGTGAGCTAAATTCAGAACAGTTAGATCCCTCAGCCCGTGGTCCAGGGAGACTTCACGCAGGAGGGGCCTTTTGTCTCTAAGCAGTCATTCCTTGTACAAGCCAAGAGCTGGGAGGAGGACTGGTTTTGGCATCATCCCCCACAGATAGCAGTGGGGCCTTTCGTTCTGGAGGGAAGGAGCGGGCGGAGGCTGGCATATGGAGGGGAGCCCTGGGCACAGGGGACATGAGCTTCACCCGGCTGTGGCTACCTTCTGCTGGGTTCATCCATCTGGCACCAGCTGGCTTCCCCACGCTGCCCTGCAACCAACCAGACTCCTGCTGTTGCCATGGCAATTGGCTGCCATGGTATACTCAGGGCACTACCTCATATCTGGATTTTCCCATAGGTTCCTGGAGGAGGGGAGATAGGTCTTCAGGGATGGAGCCCTTCCTCCTGATATTTATCCAATAGGAATCCATGTTAATATATGATTTCTTAAAATTAGCCCAAATGGAGGCTTCCTATATGTCAGGTTCTGTGCTAAATATTCCCAATGTGGTATTTAATATGGCTAGGAAAGCAATGAGGAGGTAAAATTTAAGAGGTTTCCACCCAATTTCCTGTTTCTATGACAGACTTTTCCTCTTTCCAACCAGGAAATTCTATGATCTTGCTTATTCCTATCTTGGGAAGTCCTTCCCAATGTCTAACCAAGATCCAGACTGCCGATGCACCAGTTCCTTGACCCTTGGCTTGACTTGACTGATTTGAAAGGTAAGGAAGAAACTGCCACCCGCTTCAGTCGCTTGTTTGGGCCTCCTGGATCCAGCTGTTGGGATCGGGAAACTGAGATTTGGTTAGCTTGGTGAGAGGTCCAAGTGCCCCTTAAAGACTTGGGGGCCCCAAGTCTAAAACCTTTGTGTAGAGAAGGAGCATCTATGTCACCAAATCCTTGGAAATTTCCCTTCCTTGCCCCCATCTTCACCCAAAGAAGCAAGAGCCAGAGGCCCTGGGAAAGTGATAGTCTCCCCGGGTTCGGGGGTGTGGGGGCCTTCGGAAGGCACACTCCGTCTCTCGCCATTGGGAGGTTCCAACGGGGCCCCTGGGAGATCCTGGGATGGTGAGAGTTTGCCCCCTCTTTGGACTCCAGCAGAAAGTAGAGAGTGGTCACCTTGGCCTGAAGGGCATCTGCAATGGCCCGAGCAGGGCCAGCTTTGCTGAGGAAATCCGGGAGGAGGAGCAGGTGGGGAGAAAAAGGCCATTCTCAGCTGAGGAGGAGTGGGCTGGCAGGGAGGGGCTGGGGATAATTTATGGTATCATTGTTCCCCACCCCACTTCCCCAGCTCCCACCTTCTTCCCAGACCCCTGCTCCGTACTGTTGCTAGGAGATGCTGGCTCAGTCTGGGGCTGGGCGGGTGGAACAGGTGGAAACTGTTCCATCTGGACTCCTCCTCCTCCTTCGGGGGTGGGGAGTGGGAGGGCCTTCGTAGAGCTTCATCCACCACCCTTTCCCAGGCCCTGACAGGCACCAGTCTCTGCTGTTCCCCCCAGTCCAGCCAACCTGGTGCTGGGAGGGCTCCCAGGCAGCCCAAGAATCTGGAGCAAGGAATGGGGAAGGGAGCTGTGGAGGGAGAGGCAGAAGGACTGAGTTGGGGCACTGAGGATCAGCTGGCTCCCCGGGGCCTCTGGGAGCTAGCCCCGGCCCAGAAAGGGCCAGGAGGAGTCAGGGGTACAGGCCTCAAGGAGCCCAGGTTTGAGGAAGACCAAGTCCTTACCTCTGGGGAGTTTCCAATATCATGGGTGAGGCAGATCTCCCATCCCCACCCCTCCAGAGTATGGTCAAGGTCAAGGTTAGGGACCTGGGGTGGGGCCTGGGGAGGGAAGGAGAAGGGGAAGCAGGGAGGAGGGAAGTAAGTTTGGAAAGTCTGAGTCTGGGGATGAGGAAGGTGACACGGATCCGATCCGATGGGGCAGTGTCAGGCATGGCTCAGATTCCCTCCTCTTTCTGAAACTCCCTCCTCAGGTTTTAAAGCCCTTGGAGAAGTGAACTGTGGGGCCTCCAAGCTGCTGGCTCCCAGCCCCAGATGGGGCAGGAAAGGACTGACCCCCCACAGCTGTGCGTCGGACTCCTGGTTTCTGTGCAGCCCCTCATTGGACCCTTTCCCGGGCACAGCTCCCCACACCGCAGGAAGGAAGGAACTGGCCTTGATCAGGCACCTACTTGCCTGTGTAAGCCCTTTCTTAGCTGTTATCTCGGTTCATCTTCCAAAAGTCCTGAAAACTGGGCGATATCGTCCCCACTTTACAAAGGCGGATCAAAGCCCAAGAAAGACATGCTCCTCAGAGTCGAGGGACCAGCAAGTTGGGCTGGGCTTCAAGGGGCTTTGGGGATCCCCAAGCATATGCTGTCTCCCTCCCTTCCTGTGCTGACTTCCAGGAGAGCTACTCCAAACACAGGGAGGGATGCGGAGAGAGGAGCAGACAGGCATGAGGAGCCAGGAGGGGAGCAAGGCCGGTGGGGGGCAGGGGGCGCGGCTGGGTCAGACTTCACACGTTCTCAGGGGAGGAATGAGGCCTGCTTCTTAGGTGCGGGGCTGAAGTCTGAGGGACGCTAAAACGTTGCTTGCGGGTTGAAGACAGGGCTGGGGAAGTCGCCACAGGGGCTGTGGAGCCACCCAAATCCTCCCAGGTTGGTCCCAGGCCATGCTCCCTGCCTTCCTGAAGCAAGGCCGCCGGCCTCACCTCATCTCTCACCTGCTTGGCATCTGAGTCTCCACCCTGGCATCCCCTGTGCCCCATGGCCCTGGGTGGAGCCCCTAAAAGAGGGGCCTAGAGTCAACCACTGCCATGGTGGCCCCTTTGCCAGGGGACCCTCCCAACCCCTTCCCTCCCCTGATGGAGGAGAAGCCTTTTCGGGCCACTGGACACTCTCCATGGAAGTTTGTCCTCTGCCTCCGGCTCAGGTCTCCATCCAAACAGAACCCTTTTCACCCTTGACATTTTTTTTCTTTTCAGACCAAAAAGGAGAGCCTGCTTCACCAGTTGGCCTGGGTTTCCCCTAAGAAGCCTTCCTGGATTGACTGAAAGATGAGGCTAAATTCTACTAAGTTGACTGTCTCCTCCAAGAAGCCTTTGAGGGGGATGGGAGTGGGGAGGCCCCAGCCTCCAGCCCGCACAGCCCACTGCACCCGGAGCCCCTGGGATAAGACTTGGCTTCGCCCTTGCTCCCGCCCCGTCCCATCCCGGTTCCTCCTGTGTCGTCTGAGCTGAGATTCCTCTGAGATGGAAGTCCCACCTCCCGTCTAATAAAGACTCCTGACTCCTGAACAGCAGCCGTAGTGGCAGTGGATGTCCCTGTACAGGGTTTTGGGGGGAGGGATGAATGAGAGGAGGGCAGTCCTGGGCTCCCTCTAGGAGACCAATGCTAGAAGCCACCACTGCAACCCAAGGAGGAGGCCTCACTAAGACAGAACTCCATGGTGGGGCAGGGGGTGGGGGGAGCAGCCACCCAGGGGTCCTGGGAACACCCAGGGTCTGGTCAGGCCCAACTCAGCAATGGGCTGAAGCTCCCAGCCAAGGAGGCCCCTCAATATCATCCCAAGAACCAAGAGAATAGGGGAGGTGGGTTGCTCCCCCAGAGTGCCTGTGCGGGAGGTCCCTGGGTGGGTGGGCCTCTGTCTCCTCCATGAAGTGTCCCTTCCTCAGGTATGTCCTCCTGGCTTGGAACAGACCACAAAGAGAGAGCACCCCTGTGCCACCGCCCACCCTACCCCCCCGCCCCCCCCAACTCCTGCTTCCTCCTCCAGCAGTGATGAAAGGGAATGAATATGTCTGTCAAGAGGAATTCAGGTTAGAGAGCAGGCAGGACTTTTCAGTAAGATCTTGGGAGGGCAGCTTCGGGGGCCAGGGAACCATGTCAAGAGGCTGGGACTGTGCTCTTGATCCCATCATTTCCCCCACAGGCTTCTCCAAGAGACAGTCCTCCTCTCACTCTCAGCTCCTGCTGGGAAGCGTTAGCAGAGTCCACTGCCAGCACCTTTTAAGCTCTCCATCATCCTCTAAAAAGTCCTTCCTCTCGCCCTGGCTGGCCAGTGTGGCTCTGTTGGTTGGCCATCATCCTGTGCACTGTAAGGTTGCCGGTTCGATTCCTGGTCAGGGCACATGCCCAGGTTTTGGCTTGATCCCTGGTAGGTTGTCTTCAGGAGGCAGCCACCCCATGTTTTGCTCTCACATCAATGTTTCTCTCCCTTTCTTTCTCTCTAAAAAGAAAAAAAAAATCAATAAAAACTCTTTAAAAAATAATAAAAAGTCCTTCCTCTCATCTAATGGAACAATGCCTCCATGGAAAAATAATCTGAATCCTGGAATTTTTCTAAATAAACAAGCTTATGATAATATACATGATTCAATTCTAACAGCATGAAAGGGAACATATGTCTCCTTCCCATCCCTGTCTCCAGCCACTCACCTTCTGTCCCAAGAGGCAACCACTGGTTCCTGTGTCTTCCCTGAGATACTCCACAGACATTCAAGAATGTGTCTACCACCAGCTAGTGTTGCCCAGTGGTTGAGCATCAACCCATGAACCAAGAGGTCCCCCAATCACGGCACAGGCCCAGGTTGGGCTTGATCCCCGTTAGGGGGCATGCAGGAGGCAGCCGATCGATGTTTCTCTCTAATCAATGTTTATATCTCTCTATTCCTCTCCCTATTAAAAAAATTTTAAAAAAGAATGTGTCTACAATCCCACTTAAACATTGATCACAACTTTTTAGCTCTTCTAGACCAGGACTCCTAGCCTAAGGTCAGAGGTGCCTCAGGGGATCTCACATCTGCTGAAATTGCATGCAGAATGCTGGCTGGGCACCTGGGCCTGGCTTCCAAGAAGGAGGGTCACACTAAAGCCACCTGGTCTGCCCCAGCTCCTATTCTACAGAGGAAACGAGGCCAGGGAGGGGAAGGACTGTGTCCAGGGTCCTCAGCCTGGTGGACGCCTGTCAGGAGAAGACTCTCAGGCCCCCCAACCTATAAGCCAAAGAGCCCCAGGGTCCCCCACAAGGACAGTGTCTGGGAGGGCTGATTGAGGCCTAGGAAGCAGGCAGGAAGAGGATGCCATGGCATCCATGTGGCATACAGAAGGGGCTGGGCCCCAGGCCCTCCAGGCCCAGGGGAGTGTCTCTGAGGTTCCCAGGCCTCCTTTTAGGACCTTCCTGCTGCCCAGCCTGGCGAGGACCCACTTCCAACCCTCCTCACCACCACCCATCTCGGTCCCTGGGGACTAGAGGTGAATGGAGACCGGGTCTGGCCTGGGGTCAGCATGAGGGAAGTTGCCCAGGACGGCCTCCCCCCACGCCCAGTTTGGACTCCAGAGCCCGAGCATCCATCTGGCAGTAGTGACTGGGGCCAGCCCTCTGCCCCCACTAGTGGCCTCCTTCCTGGCTGGGAAGGGAGGCTCCTGGTGAAGGAGTTGGAGCATGCGCAGGAGGTGGGATAACCCACTGAGCACAGGAAAAGAGAGCAGGGCACCAGCAGACAGCAGGTGCAGGAGGAGCAACAGAGGGTGGACTGCCTTTTGGAAAGAAAAATACTGGGACCCAGGCAGGGGCAGTAGGGGTGGGGAGGGACCCTCCCTAGACAGGGACGCTGGGGAATGTGTGGGAATGTGCTCTCAGAGCCCTACTGAGCCTATGTAGATGAGACCTGTCTCTATGCAAATGAGACTGTCTGTATGCAGATGAGGAGAGGGCATTCTCTTTCAGAGTTACCATAGAGCCCACCTCCACCCCCTTCCCTTGGGGGCCCCAGCTGCAGGGCTAGTGGGAAGAGGCCAGGCCTGGGAGGGGCAACTGGCAATAGGTTAGACTTCAGGAAGGACTTAACAGAGGAAGATGGCCATATCTGGAGATGAAATGGAAACTGCTGGGAGAGTCAGGCAAAAAAAGATGGGGGGCCCTAACCGGTTTGGCTCAGTGGATAGAGCGTCGGCCTGTGGACTCAAGGGTCCCAGGTTCGGTTCCGGTCAAGGGCATGTACCTTGGTTGCTGGCACATCACCAGTGGGGGGCGTGCAGGAGGCAGCTGATCGATGTTTCTCTCTCATCGATGTTTCTAACTCTCTATCCCTCTTGCTTCCTCTCTGTAAAAAATCAATAAAATATATTTTTTTTATAAAAAGATGGGGGTAGACCATGAAAGAACATGTCACTCATAGGGAAACAGGAAGACTGACCAAAAGCTTTGGGAGGGAGCCAGGAATAAAAGGAACTTGGATTGAGAACCCACTTCATGCCAATTCCCCACTCAGAGCCTTCCACCTGCAGTCACACTGGATCCTGGAGATGACCTGTGAGGGCTTTCACAGGTGAGGCCCAGACAGGCTATCAGACACATCTAGGTCACATGGTTTGCAAATGGCGGGCCCTGTCGGACTCCCTGGCAGGCAGCCACAGCTCAGAACTTTCCTACTTCCTGGCACGCGGAGACCGGAGCAGCTCCTCCTGACCTGAAGGGAGGTGCGTGGGGGTGTTAGGGACTGGGGGGCAATGCCTGGGTGAGGGGTGTTGATACACTCCGAGGGGAGGTCTGGCTGCATCACACCCAGACAGGACCTGCCGAGGGCTGAGAATTGGCAGTGGGAGGTGGGACGGAGCTGTTGGTGATAGCTGAGTGGGTAGAAATTCTGAGGGGCACATCGGGGCTGGGAAGGATGCCAGGGATATTACTGCGGGGAAAACTGAGGCCCAGAGAGATTGGGAGGGCGACCTCCTCGCTCAGCAGATCCAAGTGCAAACTGGGCCTCAACCCAAGGCCCTGGGCCTCTGGCCCAGGCCCCCTTCCTGGGAGTGCAGAGCCTGGGAGTCAGGGTGTCTTTGAGAATGGCCTCTCCTCTTCCTCAGTGGCCCCAGCCCCCCCCCCCCCCCCCCCCCCGCCCCACGTCCAATGGTGCAGCCAAGGCCTTTGTGGGGAAACCATGGCGAAGAGAGGCCTCTTGTTGGCCCATTCATTGTGCCGGAGGCTCAACCATGCCAGGCCCCCAGTACCGGCTGGGCTCTCCTTCCTGGGGGTGCTAGCCAGCCAGCCCCCACAACAGCCACTGCTCATTCCCCAGCTCTGTCATTTCCTGGAGCCTCAGGGAGTTGGCCCTGGTCCCACTGAGGATGGCGGGAGCCCTGGTCCCCACTCCCCCACCCCCCTGCACCTCGCCTTTTACATGCTGGCACCAGAGTCGTGGGAATGCTGGACAGCAGCTGGGCACCGGTGCCCAGCTCTGCCCACCCCCATTCAGGCCGACCTCAGAGAGGGCAGAGGAACAGGCCGCTCCAAAAAAGCCCCTCCAGGATGGGGCCCTAGAAATCCTTAGCTCTAATTATGAATCCAGGGACAAACGAGACATTTGCAAGTCAATTAGTGAAAGAACTTTCCCAGGAAAGAGCCTCATCCCGGCTGGCTTCAGACAGGGCCACATACTGGGTCATCTTGTCCCTCCCCCTACCTCTGCCCTGCTCCGAGCTCAGGGACAGAGGCCCACCCAATGTTCTGCCAGCCCTATGTGGCCGAGCGTGTCCGCGGCCTGCCTGGGCAGGAAGGGCCAGGAGCAAGGCAGCACTCTGCTGAGGTCAGCTGGAGGTCATGGGGGGCTGCCACAGGAGACCGCCTGTCAGGGCCCTGACCTCAGTTCCACCTGCAACAGAACCTGGTGGCTCCTCCACAGAAATGCTTAGGCAGACAGCTGGCCTGGCCTGACAGGGTGGCCTGCGCGGACTGACAGAGAGATAGAAGCCACTATGAAAGAGCCGGGAAGACGCTTGCTTCCCAGAGAACACAGAGAAACCGGGGCAGGAGGAGGAGGGGGTGGGGGGAGAGAAATGGTCCCGCGTCTCAGCTCGTGCCCAGGCAGGGGCCACACAGCTGGCAGGGCTCAGCTTGACTATGGGAACTTCAGGTGGACCGGCTGCCATCTGTGCATGGACTTGTTCCTCCCAGGGCTGGGAGGCCTTTAGCTGGGAAAGGGGCTCTCGGCCGAGGGGACCCCTTAATTGGGGGAAGTGGGGGAGGGGCAGGGGCTGTTGGGGCAAAAGCCCTAGAGCCAGCCTCACCATCTGAAGGAGATTAAGGGATTGTAATTAAAACATGTTTGAGGGACTCTGAGCAGGTGGGTTGGGGCTGGTGCTAACGATCTAATTGCTGCCTTTATTTAGCCAGCGCTTTCGCCAGGGCCTGGCTGCTGGGCTTGGTAATAAGTGGGGGTGGCTTTTTCAAAGGAGGATGGCTGAGAGAGGCGGAGTTGAGGGCCCAGGAGCCAAAGTCTGTTTTATTTTTATTTTTTATTTCAGATACAATTTTAAATTGCATTTTACTTGAATTTCACAAAAGAAAAAGAAGTTGATGGAATTGCTGGATTCATATAAATATTTCCTCTAGACAAGAGATACTTCCCCTAAAGTATCCATTCAAGATAAAAAAAAGAAGAAAAGAAACAGAACATTAAAGGTCAAAGTCATTATGATTTTTCCCAAGGACATATTTTCATTTTTGTTTGTATAGAGTAAACCAACAGGAACAAGTGCTGTCCCCATCTGGGTGCCAGAACCTGAAATCAGGGCGTCCAGGGCTGTGCTCCCTCAGAGCTTCTGGGGGCTCCTGGGGCTCCTTGGCTCCTGGCCCCATCCCTTCAATCGCCCCTCTCTTCACGTGGCCGCCCCTCCACCCTCACGTGACTCCTCCTTCCTAACATAACCCCACACTGTGTTCACCTGCGCACTTCCGGCAGATCACGTGGCCCCGCCCCCGTTCACGCGCCCATTGCACAGGTGAAGCTACTGCGGCACAGAGAGGGCGAGTGGCTTCTTCCTTGGAGGGTGCACAGCAGTAAAAGGACGGACGGAGCTGGAAATGGACCCTGGGCCGCCCAGAGCCTCTGTCTCCTTGACCTGTGACCTCTGGGTAAGCGGCCATTTGCTCTGATGGGCTTCACCCTTCCCCTCACCCCCCCACCCACCTCCAGCAGACAGGGGGCCGGTCACGGGGGGATCACGGCACCAGTGCCTCCGGGCGGCTGCTCTCTTTGTCCCAAGGTCCCTCCCAGCTGGTAACCTTGGCAGAGTCCCCCTGCACTGGTGCGAGGGCCCTGCGTGGAGAACACCCCGCCTCCCCTCGCCGTCTGTGGCTTAGATTACAAAGTGCCATGACTTTCCCCGTCTGGCTTCCGCCGCCTGCCTCTCCTGGCAGATTTTGTTTTACCTCGAAATGAAATTGATTCGGGGTCTGCAAACCAGCAGACTGCCTGCATTCGCTCTGAGCCGTGGCTCTGCCCCGGCGCCTCCTGGTCCAAGTGCCCGATGCCCCCCAGCTCCGTGGCAGCATCGCTCATCCCCTGGGCCCCCATTCAGCACAGGCACCCTCAGCGCTCCCCTGCAGCCCCAGGGACCTGCTGAGCCCGGCCCGGCCGGTCACCAGTTCCCCAGGTCCTGCCTGCAGCCCCAGGTCCTCAAACCGGTGTGGTAGGGCCCTGAGAGTTGACCCCTTAGGCAGAGGGGTACAGATACCACTGGGCATTGCGCCCCCACACCCGGCCTCCCCTCTCCAGGAGGAAATGCCGAGAGCACCCAGTCTGTGCTGATGTCCTGCACCTGGAGGGCTCAGCCTGCGCAGTGCGGCCACCAGAGGGGACCGGTCTGCAGGGTGGTGGGCAGAACAGGCCTCCCAGGGCAGCTGGGTGCCCACCTGGCCCCAAAGCCATCCTTCAGCCTCCCCCTTGCCCCTGCTGAAGGGGAACCAGGTGTGGTTTCCGCCCAGCCCAGCTGCCTGCCTTGGGAGGCGGCAGAGGCTGTCGCCCTCTGCTGGCCAGTTCCTGTTACTGCAGGAAGTAAAGTCACCCTGCCACCCAGCCCGTGCCCACAGGGAGCCAGCCCAGCGCATCATTCCCATCCACAGGCCAGAACCAGGCCTCGGCGCTTCCCTCGGCTGGGGTGGAGCGGAGCTGGATTGGGAGTCAGGACGGTCTCTGCAGCTGATGTGTGTGGTCCCCATTTTCTCGAGCCCAGGAGCCTCCAGGGCCCTGGGAAGCCAAGGCAGGGCTGGGGCACACTGGAGTAATGGGAGGCCTGGAGAAGACTTTTGGGGGCCAGGAATGAGGAAAGAGAACACATAGGTCCTTAGAGGGGACATTGAGACGGGGGATGGCTAGGGTGTCCTCGGAATCATTGTAACAGCCAACATGCGTTGAAACTGGACTCTGTGTCGAGCATTGTATGAGACAGTTTATGCACTTACTTAACTCTCACAACCACACTGTGAAGCAGGTCTCCCTTGGGACTAGACTGAGGGGAGACACCTGTCTCCAGAGCAGGGCTCAGCCCCTCACTAAGCAGATGCCACAGGTCCCACTGACTCGGAGGAGCTCCTTTTGAGGAAGGGAATGGTGGACACACCCTCTCTAGACTCCGAAGACATGCAGGGTGTAGCCCAAAGGCCTCGGCCGGGGGAGTCCAGCCGCACCCGGCGGGTGCAGCCTCCTCTCCGCCTCCACACCCTCCGCCTTGGCTCATGCTGTCTTCTCCCCTGGGAGAACTGTCCCTCCACTCATCTGCTCTTCTGAGAGGCCCTCCTCTCCCTCTCCCTGGCTCCCGGAGCGAGTGCTGAGGGTGACCTGGGGACGCTGGTTGCCTCCGCGCCGTGAGAACTGCGTCGGGGAGGCCGAGGCAGGAAGAAGCTTCTACTGTATAGTGCACTTTTTGTGCCGGTAAAGTTTCGTGCCTTTGAAGTGAAGAAATTACTTATTCAGAAATAAATTTAATTTAAATATTAATTATTGCACCTTTTTAAAGGCTGGGGAAGGCCGAAACCGGTTTGGCTCAGTGGATAGAGCGTCGGCCTGCGGACTGAGGGGTCCCGGGTTCGATTCCGGTCAAGGGCATGTACCTGGGTTGCAGGCATGTCCCCAGTGGGAGATGTGCAGGAGGCAGCTGATCGATGTTTCTCTCTCATCAATGTTTCTAACTCTCTATCTCTCTCCCTTCCTCTCTGTAAAAAAATCAATAAAATATATTTAAAAAAAAAAAAAAAAGGCTGGGGAAGGACAGTGTTTAACCTCAAAGACCAGAGTCTGAGCCTGGCCCATGTGGTTGAACGTCGACCTATGAACCAGGAGGTCACAGTTTGATTCCTGGTCAGGGCACATGCTGGGGTGGTGGGCTCTATCCCTGGTAGGGGCGTGCAGGAGACGGCCAATCAATGACTCTCTCTCATCACGGATGTTTCTCTCTCTCTCTCCCTTTCCCTTCCTCTCTGAAATCAATAAAAGTATATATATAAAAAAACCAGAGCACGAGAGAACCTCTGAGACTCCCCATTTGAGAGGGAACAGTGGCATTTCAGTCCCTTCTCTCTACCTCCCCTTCCTTCACCCCGCTCCTGCCTCCTAGGCCAGCTGGGCCTGGTTGCTGTGCCCCACCCTCTGCCCAGGTCCTCCAAGAGCTTCACAAGATTGGCTGGAGAGCAGAAGCGCCCCGCCCCCTCCCTATCCAGGTGTGTGGGCAGAGCACCTGGATTCTCACTAGCCCTTGTGCACACGGGCGAGTAACCGATGCTCCCTGAGCCAGCATCTGGCCCTGTAAGGGGGACAGCGATGGCCTGGCTGCTGCCTTTCTACATCTGAGGGGTATGTGTAAGAGTTTACCTGGAGACCTTGGGGACTGCTGCCTGCCCTTCTCGGCCCAGCCCCACTGAGGGCCCTGCTGATCTGCTGAGTGTTCTCTTGCAGGCCCCGTCCCTCTCTGCACATCAGTGCCTCACCTGGGACACAGGTGCATCCCTGCCCTTCCTGTCTCTGTGTGGCCGAGCTGAGGCTGAGGACCTCTGATGGCCTGGTCTTGGCATTCTCGTCTGCAAAATGGGGACAGAAACAGTAGCTATATGCCAGGCTGTTGGAGAAATTAAATAAGATTATGGATGTGAAGTGCTTGGCACACATAGGCCTGGTGCTGGCTCATAGATGGTGGCCGCTGTTGTTGGAGTTGTTCAATGGAGGGACTCTGCAGAATGTGCTGGCCCAGGGCAGGCTCCTCATTACTGCTCCGGCCGCGGGAATAATGAGGCTGTGGTAATGGCTGCTCACACTCGCTGCCCCTCTGACAAAAGGACTTGGTGGCTGTGGATGGGCCCAACCAAGTGAGAAGGGAATGGTGCATAATGTGACTCTTCAGGGCTTAGCCCGGGGTTGGGGGTTGGGGTCTGGGAAGGACCCTCCAGCTGTGGCTCCAGGTGCTGAGGGGCCCCCCAGGCTAGGAACCCAAGCTGAGAGGCCACCTTTTTCCTGCTTCCAGGTGGTTCAGCCAAGAGCCTTCAAACACAAGCCCAGGTCACCGGAGCCGTTGCTAACACTTACTGAGCGCCTCCAAGTGCCAGGTGCTGCTCGGTGTGCTGGGGCACCAGCCTGTACAACAGACCCCAGGACCTCGGACCTCCTGAGGCCAGTGGGGAGACGAACCAGAACCCAAACAAACAAATAAAATACATCGAGTGTCGGATGGTGAGAACTGATCTGGAGAAAAAGAAACCACGAACAGGGACGTGGAGGCGGGGTCGAGCGAGGAACTGCAGTTTAAGGTGAGAGCTTAGGAAAAGCCAGGTTCTTTTTTCCAACTCTTTCTTGTAAACGTTTTTAAATAGATGCAAAAATGCTCGGTGTGTACAGTGGTTAGACCGTCAGTCCACACATCGAGGGTCCTGGGTTCAATTCCTGGTCAAGGGCACATACCTGGGTTGCAGGTTCTATCCCCAGCCCTGGTGGGGCATGTGCAGGAAGCAACCAATCGATGTGTCTCTGACATATTAAAGTCTCTCTCTCTCTCTTTCTCCCTCCCCGCCTCCCTCCCTTCCACTTTCTCTAAAAATCAATGGAAAAAATATTCTCTGGTTTGGATTAACCAAACAACAACAAAAAAATAAACAGACTAGTTTATGAAGCCGCACCTCTCAGTCATCTGGTGTCAACAACTTAACTGTCAATCTTGCTCAACCTGCACTTCCACCTGGAAAGGTTAAACTTGGTGCACAGGCAGACTAAATAGCCATCTCAGATGTTGAATAAAGAAAAATTGAATTTATTTAAGGAAAGGGGGGTGGGGGATGGGGATATCTAAAGGGAAGGGCTACACTGCACTGAGCCAAAGGTTATGGGGCCCATGATGGCAGCAAAAATAGACCTAGGACAGTGAAACAAGGAAGGGCATAGCCATAGAAGAAGCAACAGGGAAGTCTAGGCGGGCTGCTCTGGCTCACTGAGAAATCAGAGAAGGGGGCCGTGGAGACAGGTCCAGGGGTGAGCCCGGGAGGAGCTGCCGCTGCCCATTGCTCCCCGGGTTGCAACTTTCCTGGGGTCCCTTAGAGGTTGGGGGATCCATGCCTGTGAGGGAATGGCACTGGGTCCTTTGTCCCCAGCACACGTATCTCTCTTGCAGATGGAAATCTCAGGGGAGGGTCTTCATAGAATATTCATCAGCTTTCCAGGTGTGCTCGTTCAGCTTCCTGGTCTCCTGATTGGTCGGTGCCAGGGCAGGGGTCAGTCAGTACAGCTGGTGCTGAGGCCCACAGGGCATCACCTCTCTGGTTTTGCAGCTTTTCTGGGCCTGGAGCTGAAGCCTAGATGTTATCTTTAGGGGGGTAAAGATCAGGGATCCAAACAGCACGACCAGTGATAGGCTAGGTGAGGACAGGTTACCCTGTGGGCAAGCTTCTTGATTTCCCAGTTTTGCCCCTTGCTGGGCACCAGGGCTTTCTACCCTGGGGAGTGTCCTGGCTCTGCTCACGTCTGTCTGACCCACCTCCTGTGCTGTTTAGAAGCACATCTCAGACATCTCCTTCCAGGGAAGGCCTGATGCAAGCAAAGACCAAAGGAGACAAGGAAGCCAGCTGAGGAGGCCAGCCCTTCGGCGAATGGGGAGGTGAGCATCCCAGGTAGAGGGACGGCAAGTGCCAAAGCTTCGTGCCTGTTGTTTGAAAGACCGGGCTCTCATCTGGGCTCTCCCCTGCTGGCTGTGCAGCCTCACAGGAGCCTCTTCACCGCCCTGAAGCGCAGTTTTGCCATCTGTGAATTGGGGCCGATGCCTTATTCTAAAGGGCATGTGTAGGGTGGAGTGAGACCCCGGTGAGTGTTTCATAGAAGTGGAGGGACGCGCAGAGTCCACGTCCACTCGCAGGCAGGTCTGGCCTCAGAGACACTCGGTGAGTTGGTGGAGATGAGACAAGCCCCCTACGGTCTCCAAGGCTAGATGGAGGTTAGGAAGGGGGCCCGGGAGTGATTTCCTGTAGAAAGCTGTCCTTGAACTCAGTCTAGTAGCCATAGTGATGGGGAGGGTGTGGCTGTGTTTGCTGGCCCCCCCTCACTCCCCCCCCCCCCCCCCCCCCGTGGATGGGCCATGGGATCCCAGGCGGCCAGAGACAAGTGAAGGGCTGAAGGCTGAATGGCCAACTGTTCTCTGAGGAGGCTTGGCCCCCAATAAAGACCCTTATCACCAACTCCACCTCCCTCCCAGGGTGATTATCACCCAGAGGGGCCTTTCCTGGGGGACACAAAGAGACCCTCAATTCCCATCCTCTAGGCAGGATAATGGGCCATTCACACTGTGGGACCCCAGCCCACACCTGGACTCTCAGGCAGCCCCGCAGCCCCATTGTCCCAGGCCTGCCCAACAGGGGTGTCCCTGGCAGGGAGGCTCGCCCCCAGCTGGAGCACTCCTGGCCCTTCCCCCACCGCTCCCGCCGTCTGGACTCAGGGCTTGATTTGGGGGGAGGTCGGCCGCCATTCATCCCACAGTCCTTCACTGAATGTCTCTCCTCTTGAAGTCCTTACAGGGCAATGGGAAAATGGGAAGGAATAATTAGGAAAACCATTAGCGTCTCAAGGCCCATCTGAGAGGGATTAAGGGATTAAAGCCTTCCAACCCAAATCTCCTACTTTAAGGTTGTTGTAGGGGTTTTGTTTTCAGGACGTTTTTTCTCTTCTTTTTCCCTGGGTTAGGGAGACTAAAGTCTTGGTGGATCCTTCCTTCAAAAGCTGCAGATAAAAGTCAGGACATTGAAGTTCGGGTGGAGAAAAGTGAAAGCAGGCTTTTTTTTGGGGGGGGAGCCTTCCCAAGCTCTCCCGGGCCACCTTGGACCACTTCTGGGGCATGAGTGGATGGGGGAGGAGGTGCAGAGGCCAGGCTGGGCCCGAGGAAGCCCACACGGGCCTGCTGAGAGCCAACCGGCTCCTTTGGAGGGCCCAGCCCTGCTTGCCAGGCCACCTCCCAGCTCCTTCAAGTCCTAGCTGTGGCTCAGCGGCCTCTCTTGCTCCGATTAGGTCCAGCTGACACAAACTCGGACAAAGGACGACTTGCCGTTCATCCCGCTCTGGAGCCTGAGGGTGGAGGGCAGGGCACGGCGGGCAAGGGCACGGCTGTGGCAACAAAGCCTGGTGGGGCTCTCCTTGCTGGAACAACGCACAACCACTGGCTTCCGTTAGAACAGCTCCTTACAACACCCTGTGAGGGGCTGGGAATGAAAGGGTGAGGGCACCTGCAGAGGAGGCAGCCTCATCCGTCTGGAGGGATGAGGGACAGTCCCCTGGAAGATGTAAACTACATTTTATTGATTAAAGTACTCCGAAGGCCTGGCGCCTAGTAGGTCCTCAGTCACTGTGAGGTGCATGTTCCCCTTTTTACAGAGAGAGTTTCCCGGTCCCATAGGATGGTCCCCTACCCACTGGGAAAATTAAAATACGCCATCACCTGGCTGAAGTCCAGGGGGAACTGGAGGTGCCAAGAGCTCTGGGTGCTGGGAAGCAGAGATGTGCATTAGGGTGTCACCCCAGTTCTCCCCCTGAGTCTTCCTACGCTCCAGCCAACCTGCCCCCGGAGGTCCTGGGGAAGAAAGATGCCCTCATCGCTGGCTCACACTCCCCCTCCCGCCCCCCGCCTCCCTGCCACACACACTGGCATCCCTGGTTTCAGTTTGGGGTCCCCAGGAGTGAAGGCTGTCCCTCTACTTCTCCAGAAGATTCAGCTGAGTCCCCTTGAGCCTCTGTACCCACCCACCTGTGCCTGGAAGAGCCTGAGGCACGGGGGGCAGGCCTGGCAGGAGCAGCCTTCCCCAGGTGGAGGCAGGCAGACGTCACCGTCACCGTCACCCTCACCCTGGCGCCCGCTCCTGGCCAGTGGTGCCGGTGATAGGTGCTGGGGCTGCAGCCAGCTACTGCATTGATAATCGAATGTATTAATGGTCCTAATTGGCAACTGCCAGCAAGAAGCCCTGTGCTAATTCCAGCAATAATCGGGGCTTGCGGGGCGTGGCCAGGAAGGGTGGGTGCAGGATGGAGGGCTTGTAGACAGTGTATAGTGCAGGGCCCGGCCACGCCAGAGGCCAGCCTGAATGGCTGGAAATGGGAAGAAGGGGGACCCTACCCCCCCACCGGTTCCCACCAAGGGTGCCTTGACCCCCCCAGGCCACCTCAGATGGTGTTGGGACAAGATGAAATGTGAGGCTGGCAGGGAGGGGAGACCTCTGTCTGGGCCTCAGAGCCAGAACTCAGACAGCAGCCCGTGGGAGGAAGGCGAGTCTGTAAAAGTCCAAGTGCAATGAGCTAGAAGGGGATTGGGAACAAGCCCCACAGTGTCCGGAGCCGCATTCCTTGCTCTGAGGAGACGGAGATGGATGGTGCTGAGCTGGAAGGAGGGGACACTGGAGTGTGTGTATTGGGGGTGGGGTGGGGGGGCGGCAGTCTCTTCAACTGAGGATTCTCCTGCCAAGAAGGGCAGGGAAGGAAGCCCAAGTTTCAGAATCCAGACAATCCCCGGGCACAACAAAGCCACTTCCTCTCTCAGCCGCTGAGCAGACCCAGAGGGCCCTGCAGTACAGGCCAGAGAGAGAGAGGGAGGGGGGGCGGTGGGAGGGTGTGCTCTGGGGTTCAGGCAGGGGAGGCTCCAGCCCTGTGTGGATGTGGGTTTGTCTTCTTTCTGAGGTGGCTGTCAGGGATGCCTTTCCATGAAATCGGGGGTGTGGGGGGGGGGGCGGTCAGAATGCTTTGAAGCAGAGACCCAGCCAAGAGAGCAGCAGGGTGAGAAGCTGCAGGAGGACCCCTTCTGAAGGTGGGGAGTGGGCAGAGCACCACTGCTTCCCTGGCACCCCCGCCCACCCCAAGTCCCCTGGCCTGCCTTTATTTAATAGTCTCCCACATGCTCTCCCAAGCAGCCAGGCTCTACTGCCCCCCCTTCCACCCCATTTCACCCCCCTGCCCCAAGATGGATGATTGCACCTGGATCCTCATCAGGGAGGAGAAAAGGAGGAAGGGCTCTACTCCGTGGAAGGCTGGGCCAGCCCCAACATGAATAGGCTCATGGGTAGCTAGGACCCTGCCTCTAGGAAGACTGCCGGCCCTGCCAGCGTCTTCTCCCTCCTCCTCACTCAGCCCCTCCTGCCACCTGGGGCTGAAGACCTGAGCTCCCTGAGACAGTTCTCAGGTTGGTGTTGCCCTGGTTGGTTTTGTCCCCTAAACCATGATGAGTTCGAGAAGCATCACTGCACCGTCTCCGAACAGCATTTCCCCCGAGTGGCCTCCGCCCTTGACCTAAGCCTTCACGGGCATTTAGAAAAGAGGGACCCGGGTCCTGCACTTGCTGGGTCTCAAGCCCAGTTACTGGGGCTCAGCCTGCACCCTGTTCCGTCCAAAAGCAGGGCGGCTCCCAGCTAAAAGGGACCCTGCTCTCAGCACAGGGTGCCCCTCCCGCTGGCCGGGTCGTCTCCAATCGCACCTGCTGGGTGCGCACAGGCTCCTGGGCTGGGGTGGGTAAAGGGGCTCGCCGCTTTCACTCATGGGAGGGGGCTTTCTGTGGCAACACCGCCCCCCCCCCCCCCCCCCACATCATTGGATACGTTCAGTTCATTTCAGTCCGGCCATGGCTGCTTTTCTCCCAGTAAAACGTGCGGTTCCTTAACTGGTGGTGGACAGCAGAGGGAGGCAGGCGGGAAGGCCTGGACTAGTCTTGGGCTCCGAGTAAGAGAGGATCCCTGGGCATCTGAACAGTAACAGCCCACTCTGGGTGTTTCCCTTAGGGTTCTGGAAGGGACCTGACTCCAGGGACCTGTGAGATTCCAGAGATTGAGGAGGGGCGTGGTCAACAGGTAGGGAGGGTGGGAAGAGCACCAAGTACGGACCAGGTTGAACGTCCAAGAGACAGAGCCTCAGCGGAAGGACCGCTTGGGCCAGTGGTGGGCAAACTCGTTAGCCACCAGAGCCAAATATCAACAGGACAACGACTGGAATTTCTTTTGAGAGCCAAATTTTTTAAACTTAAACTATATAGGTAGGTACATTGTTATTAACTTGATTAGGGTACTCCTAAGGCTTAGGAAGAGCCACACTCAAGGGGCCAAAGAGCTGCATGTGGCTCGCGAGCCGCAGTTTGCCGACCACTGGCTTGGGCAGGTTACTGAGTGTGTGTGGGAGGGTTAAGCTGGGGGCCCCCCGGGTCTGACCCCTCCTTGGGGAGAGGTTAGGCACAGCGCGGACAGGTGACCAGCCCTCCTTGGCCCCACGGCCTGGTTTGAGTCCCCTTCTGCCTTCATCCCGGGGCTGGCGTGGGGCTGGCGTGGGGGACCGGCGATCAGACGGCCACAGACAATGGCGCTCTGTCCGGGCGGGCAGGCGGGCGGGCGGGCGCCCGGCGGCAGCTCATCCCTATGCAGTGACCGACTCCCCCATCCCGCCCCTTTCAGGGGCCGAGGGAATTCTCACAGGCTGTTGGCATTTGCATAGCCGGCTCGCCGCCCGCCCGAGACATTGGCTCGCATTGTTCCCCGCGGTTCCCGGTGGCGGGCGCATGGGCCAGGGCTCTGGGCGGCGGACGGCAGACAAAGGAGAGGGCGCAGAGCCGGGAGGCGGCGGGCTGGGCGATCCTGACGGTGGGAGAGAAATATCGAGTTGAGGTGGGGGGTCGCGGCTGCCCGGTTTGTCTGCCCCTGGACCGCTACCACCCCCCCAGTTTGGACACCCAGGCCGCGTCTAATTCCTACCCCCGCTGGGGCAGCTGCGTGCCGTGATGTGAATCCCAATGAGGGGGAGGGGGTCAGGTCCCAGGCCTCCTTTCCCAGGCCGCCTGGGCTCAGAGCCGGGTCCTCCAGAGGTCACCGGGCTGCTCCCAGCTCCTGGCCAAGGGGGACCTGGCCACACAGGCACAGAAGCACCCTGAAGCCCTGGGGGCCCTTGGGTCTCCCACCCAGAGCTCTGGGCAGATACTGTCACCCACCCACACTTGTGCCAAGAGGGAACAGTGGCCACTTCCGGAAACCCTGCTCCCGATCCTCTGGCTCTGCTGGCTCGGCACTGAGGACCTCCGGGCAGCCTGCCTCCAGCGGTAGGGCCCTGGGAGATGCTCAGGGGCCAGTGTCCTGGTCCATCGCTGTCCCAGAGCTCAGGCATTGGTGCCGGACAGAGTTCATGAGTGGGCAAGTGTCTGGTGGCCCTGCATTGAGAGGAATAATGGTGGTGATCAGAGGGGCTGTCCCTGACCGGCAGAGGCCGCATTGTCCTGAGGGGGCGAGGAAGGAGCCCCTGGCCCCCGGCCCTGACATCTTCTTGACCTGCTCATTGTCACCCTGTTGACCCAGCCTGAATGGATGGGCCACCATGTGGGGGAGCCACAGTGCTAAGTCAGAGACTACAGGGGAGACGGAGGAGGTGGGTCCTGGCTCAGCCGAGGGCTCCAAGGTTGGTCCCGTCTTTCCTGCCCGCTGAGCTCCCTGCACGATGGGGAAGATGGCCCCCCACCCAGACCACCAGTGATGGCTCAGGCCAACTAAACAGAACAACCTATGGGTGGCCCACCAAGGTGCTAGTCCTTAGAAGCAAAACTGGGGAAGGGAGGGAGGGAAACGCAGAGAGGAAAACCAAGGGCCTGTTTTAGGAGAGTTCACCTCCAGACAGAGGGCCCTGGTCACATCTTCCAGCCACAGGAGGACTCGTGGGAGTGAGAGCTTGGAACTGCCGGCTGCAGGAGATGCAGGGCCATGGTATGTGGGACAGCAGGCACTGTCCTTCCCCAGGGGCCTCTTGGAGGGCCGTCGGGGACCTGTGGCCTTTTCCTCTGGAAGCTGGCGGATAACTGCTCTCCACCAGAGAGGGCTTGGTTGTCCCTTCTCCAGGAAGCCTCCTGGATGGAGATGAGAGCAGTGGCCAGCCTTTGTTTCAGACCTGGAGAATTAGTTGTGGCCAAGGAGGAACCGGCAGTGTAGGTCAAGCAAATGTAGGTGTCGTGAATAAATGAATATTCAGAGCTTTCCCCACCCAGAATGAGCTGGGGCAGGGAGGGGTCTCATCCTATCCTTGCATCTTCCTTGCCTGAAGTCTTCAGATCTGGGGACTGCTCGGGGAGCTTTGGGGCAGAGCAGGTCAGCAGGACTGGGAGCTCAGGCCCCAGAGGGTGGAGTGCGGGCTGGGCCTCAGTTCTCTCAAACTCCCTCCCGCCCAGCAGGGGCTGACAGGACTGGGAACCCCTTTGCAGTGTCAGCAGCCATCCTATGCCTCAGTACCAGAATCTCCCCCAACACACCGACCCCGGCCAGCACTGGGCAGGGGAGGCTGCAGAGGAAGGAGGGGAGTGAAGAAGGGGAGCTAGTTGGACTGGGGGCAGGGATGGTTCCCAGACAGTGCTTGTCCCTTAGCTGCCCTCCCCCTCTCAACTCTGTGCCTGACCTCTTTCCCCAGCCAAGCTCAGAGCCTGATGGGGTACCTGGGACAGGGCCAGGTCCCAGAAATCCCTCCTCTGCCTCCTTGGGGTCCTAGGTCTGAATGGGTCTTGGTCTTGGGGGAGAAAGATCCGCAGTCATGCTCAGTTCCTGCTGGAAGCACTGGGGACAGGCAGGAGAGGACAGAGGGAGGTCCCAGGTCTTCAGGGCTGGGAACGGAGTTTGGGTCTATTGGAGGGATGATGTCTCTGTTGGATGAGATCTGAAAGCCCTAGCACCGCCTGACACGTAGGGGGGGCTGGGAGCTCAAAGGAGGCTGTGGCACGAATGGTGAGGACCAGAGCCGAAGCAGACTGGAAGGCGGTTAGGCTATAGGAAGAACTTCCATTCCTGAAAGAGGGTCAGGGGCAAGAAAGCCTCCTCCTCCTCTGCTGGGTCCGGAGTGCCCTCTGGTGGTCAGATGACTTGAAGCAGCAGGAGGCCCTTCTCAGAGGCAACTCTCATGAGTTCCTCTGCTCCTGGGACTTGGGACAGGGACATCAGGTGGGGCCTGGCTGCTTCCAGCTTCTGAGGAGTTAATGGCAAAGAACTCCTTATGCCCCTCTTAGGCCCCATGGGTGCCCTCTTCCTACTCTGCTCAGAAGCTGCCCAAGTTGAGGGTCCGAGTGACAGCAGTTCTGGACTAGAACTCTCCAGCAGCCCCCGGTTCCTGGGAGACGGAGCTCCCTGTCTCTTGAGGCAGGAACGCCCATGCTGGGTACCCGCCTGGAGGAACACAGCATCCCTGAGGGAGTCCCAGAGACCCAGGGAGGTGAGACGTCTCCCCCCCCCCCGCCCCAGTTTCTAACACTGTGAGTTACAGGGTGAGAGGGACCCCCCAAATCCCCAGTGCACAAGGAAGGAGTCAGAGTCCCTGGTGACCGTGTGTTTATCGCCCGCGGAGAGCCGGGCCCTGGCTCACACTGTAACTGCGTGATGCTGGACCAGTGGGTCAGCAGTCACTGGGGTGCCTCACAGCAGGTTGTGGCTGCTGGTGGTGGTGGTGAGGCTGCTGGGAGGTTCTTCCCCCAATACGGCCAGTTATAGCCCTGCTCCTCCACCATCGGGTGCGCCTTCTGCAGCCCTTCCCCTAGCGCTGCCTGTGGAAAGGAGGCTCCTTCTGACTCGTGACTTCCTTCTTGCAGCGGGAAGGAAGGATGGGAGCGGCAAGAGAACTTCCCAAGCGTAGCCAGGCATTATCTTCCAAAAGGAGAGCATCCTTTCAAGGGCTGGTGCGAGTTAGGCCTGAGTGTCTAGTTCCTCCGCCCTCAGAGGTCCCTGGGCTTCATCTTCATGCTCCCCAGGCACCTGGAGGGCAGGGGTGGGGTGGGGGAGCAGGTCAAGGGGTGGCTCCGGGTGGCTGAATGCCACAGCTCAGGGGCGCACCCCCGAGGAGAAGGAGCAGGCGAGGAAGGAAGGAGGCAGGTGGGGTCATAGGGAGTGAGGCAGGCAGGGTGACAGGGCCCTGTGGGCCGGAGGGGTTACAGCTCGGTCTTACCTCCCAGTAAATCTGGTCCTCGTAGCACTGAGAGTCTGGAGGGGCATCCAGAAAAGGCAGCTTTAGTAGGCACCCTGGTGGTGGTAGGGGAAGATGTGTGAGGCTTTTTGCTATCCCCGTGGGAGAGGCTGCCACCCAGGGCCACAAGGCACAGAGGAGCCGGGAGGCCTGGGGTCAGCGTGATGCCTAGCTGCCCAGCCCAGGCAAGTCACAGCCATATTTATTGAGCATCTACTGTGTGCCAGATGCCACGCAAAGGGCTTGACAAGCATTTCCTTCCCTGAAGGTGAATGTGATCCCTGTGTTACAGAGAAGGAACTAAGGTTCAGAGAAGTTAAGTAATTAATTCAGGTTTGGCACAGTTGGTAATGAACCAAATAGTGATTCTCTCGTGAGCCACGGCTGCTTTCTGTGGCCTCCTGTCCAGGAGGGGTGCAGAAAGTGTGTATTGAATAATAACTAGATGAGTGAGTGAATTGAACCTTGTCTGAGGATGGCAGTCTCGAGTTGAGAGCAGGAGGGTGAAGATACCGCATCATAGCTTTTATTTTGAAGACCGAAAGGACTAAGGCCAGACATCAGGAAGGACTGCCTGAGCCAGCATTAGTGGGCAGTCAGCCTCTGTGGACGTTTTCTGTGCTGCAATCTAGTGGTAAGCCAAGCCAACCCCTTGGCTCCCTGCCCCTGCGGGGTAGAGGGGATGGCAGGGGCGGTGGGGGGGGGGGGGGGGGGGGACCACGACAATATGCACAGCTCGCCATCTCCTTCAGGGCCTCAGCCTGAGCTTGGACTGCCCTCTAGTGGGTAGAGGGAGCAGCACAAGGAAACCACAGAACCAGAGTAGAGGAACCCATCTCAGCCCCTTGCTGAGTGCTCCACCTGACCCCGAGGAGGTCACCCCTGAACTCTACCACCCCATCCCACGCCTGGCACAAAGTAGGTGCTCAATAAATATCCCAGTAAGTAAATGTCCCAATGGCCTTCCCTCCAGAGAACCCCTTCCCCGGTCTTCTGCCCTCCCTGGAGCTCCTGCCAGCCCCTCACCCCCAGCCAAGATCACTCACCTCCAACACTCCCACCCACAGAGGCAACTGTCAGCGTGACAAACA